ATATCAACGAACTAAAATATCACTTAGTGTCATCATTACCACTAGTTGCTCAATCCTAAGGAACTATCGCTTGGTCCTAAAACATAAACCATTATTGATATCTAACTTTCTTCTTCACACGCGATCGGATACTTTAAATTTAGTAGAGAAATGAGAAATTTGGTATTGGTTCAAGAAGTAAACTGAGAGCACGCTATACACTATATGGTTTAAAAACAACGCGTGCATGTGTGTGGGTTGGTGTATATTGATTAGTTAGTCAATTGGTTAGTCGCGTCAATAGATTCAAGTGTCGAGTTTACTCTCTTTTAAACTTTGGTTAAGTTCAATAAATCTTTTATCGGTATTGGTGATGTGCCAGTCTGAGCGTGTGATGATAGCTCACTGAGTTGAACGTACTGTTGAGTAGATCTCGTGGGAGTAAAACGGAAACCTATGACTGATAATTACTAAATTCAGAAACAAAACAAAAAGTATGACATGACTGAGTTTTGGATTGGTTTCGTTTACAAACAATGATGATAATGGTGGTGGTAATGATAATGATTACGGTAATGATTGTTGTAATTAATGATGATAATGGCAATTATAATGATGATGATAATGGTGGTGGTAATGATAATGCTTATGGTAATGATTGTTGTAATTAATGATAATAATGGCACTGATAATAACGATGATAATGGTGGTAATCATAATAACTATGCTAATGAATGATAGTAATAATGATAATGATGATGCTAATGTTTAGGATTGGATTGAAATGATGATGATTATAATGACGGTGATGACGATCGGTGATTTCGATTGCACGACTTACAGGAACTGTGGAGTAAAAAGAAATTTTTAAATTCATTTTTAAACGCCTAAACAATGCCTGTACCATTCAGACCTTAGATAGCGAGTTGCCGCGGTTGTCATTCAATTTATGTCTCCTTGATAGTGTGAACATATGAGAGTAAATGTGTGAACATAGTTCCTTTTGGTCGTGCAATAATCAATCATCGATCGCCATTCGCCTCTTCAACCTTTGATGATGATGTATATCACATCGTGGCTTGGTGAGCGTGATAACGCTAGGTTGATAATGTCAAGATGATGATGTTGATGAAATTTAACGCAGCCTGTTTTTAGAGTTGAAATCAAAACATCAAGATAGATTGATGACTATTCTCATCTTAGTATTGATAATTAAAAATGAAAATATCTCTAGTCTTATCAGTTAAAAGTCCTATTCCAGAAAGACCCATAAGGATGAGAAAAAAACACTTAGAATCATTTTAATTGATTTCTATCGATGAATTCACAGATAATCAAAAATATATATATCAAAATAAAATGCTACTTATAAAATCAATGTTCCAAACACTGCGTTTCTTAAAGAGCGTTTTCACGTGACGTTACAGCGGCATTACGGGGTACCAAGACAATACATTCTCTATCCTCCGGGAATTGAACTCTATTTTTATGCAAATACTGTGCAGAAAGTTTCTATTCTTTATGGTTGCCTTCTCGCGTGAGTGAAACCGGAAATATCAGAATAGCGTGAAGTCTCTTGATGACGTCAGATATAAGCGGGAAAATATATTTATGATAAATTTTATATGAGAAGCTCATCATTAGAGTTTTTCGTATATAACATTGAATGTAGTGGTAATAATAATATTGATAATAATAACAATAATAATAATAAATTTATTTATTTCCCTGAGTTCAATAGCGCTTATACGATAAAGTATAAAATAATCAAACAATTAAGTCAATGTAAATTCAACATTCAAACAGCATAAACTTTCTTGCACACACTTGTTTGTAAATATCAATGTTATCACTGTTCTTGATGTTCTATGTTAGCTTGTTCCACAACAATAAATGCATGTAGGGGTCATTAAATATTCAGTTGTTGTTTCATCTACATATATTAATTATTTTTCGAGCTTTCGGATCTTAGATCCATCATCGGTGAATATGGTGTTACAATTGAAAAAAAAAAAACCCACAAAATTGATTACATGCGGAGCCAGCGTAATCCTAGATGATTACAGAGCGAGCTAAATGGAGTGAAAAAATATAACGGAAAGCTCGGAAAAAATAAATGTTTGTAGATGAAAAAACAACTGAATATTTTTTTTAAAGGATTATTATTATTATCATCATTATTATTATTATCATTATTATTATTAATTATTATCATTATCGTTGTTGTTATTGGAAGTCTGGAGGAAAGGAATATGGTAAACCAATGGTAGGCGTTGATTCCTATTTGTGATAAAAATCTGTCTTTTATTACTTCATGTAGTGTTGTAAGACTAATCTGACAACCTACGCAATAAACAGTAACCTAATCAAAGTAGGACACGAAGTAGTATATGGTGTAAGGTCCATGACTTTATTTATCTACTTCAGATAGTTGACCTAAATTGGTAAATATTGCATGTCTAGTCTTAATGATAAAATGACAACAACTCAATCAGGTTTCTGGTTAAGCTTTATAATACCATATACGTTTTATTCTGTACGAATCACGTATAAAGGAAAAATTGGAAATTATTGGAATTGGAAATTGAAAGAATGGGAAAACAAAAAATAGATGAGAATTTGTTCAATCTCCTTTTCTAAGAATTTAAGAAGTTTTATTTTCATATATATCTTGTAATATGGGAACTATCTATTCAAAAATAATGTTCTACAAAGATTTTTTTAAAGAACGATAAGTCTTATCTTAAATCAGTCACGATCATTAGTCACATTTCTTTTTCTTTTTCCCCCTAAAAATATAGTGACTTAATTTTCAAAAGCAATTGAGCCTCGTACCTAGACGCATTAGTTTTTATGATATTGGAAGTGTTACCACTTGTATAAGGAAAAAAACTGAAGCTATTTCGTCACGAAGTGGCAAATCGCTCACGTATTTTTTATTTTTTAAGCATATTACGATAATCAAACTTTAACGTTTTTTGTTTTGTTTTTAAACGTTGTCATAACAGAAATGTCGCTATCCTTCGAGTCATTATATTTAGATGTCACTCATTACCCTTCGAGAAACACCTCATTAAATGTCCATTCTTCAATAAATTATGGTCTTTCTTCTTATTCATTTAACTTCATCAAAGATCAAAACAACAACCGCAAACTTCGATGTCATAATGGATAGATTTCAGCTCACATAATGGATAGATTTCAGCTCTAACGGTATTAAATGACACCAATTAAAGAATGCATGAAATAACAAATTTAAAAAAGTAATTCTATAACCAGCCCAGGGAACATACATCGTTAGATTATAACAGTTAGAGCTCCTTCCTTTCACTTCTTTTCTTAATACCGACAAATTAATTAAAACCCTGAAGCTCCCAGCGTTTCGATTTTATGGGCACTTCAGTGGCCCTAAGTACATGCACTCGCCGACGACCACTGATTGGACAACGTTGATTGGTCTATAATTCACTACGCGAAATTATATGACTGCGTATTGAGTCATTATGGGTTCAAAACCATTTAGAAGTAAGGATAAAATATCTGAATTTTAGTTCAGTATCTCATCGTGAGAAGATGCCAGATTCTGTCATAGCTATGAGTATGAACTAAGTAAGGAAGGAATCAATGTGTGGCTATCATGGTTTGTCACTGAATTAGAGCAAGTGGTATTCACGCTTATGTTGGACATGAGGACTAAAGTGTTGTGGAAATAGACCGTCAAGAAAAATGGCGAGGATCGGTATGATAGGTATTGTATAACGCCTTTGAATTCCGAGGTGTTGAGCTTAAAAGGTCGACTCGGGGAAACTTTGTTCGAGATATTGCACAACTACCGAACGACAACAACAACGACAAAGAAAGGAACTCAAATTAACGAAAACAAGTATGTAAGTTCTGTAATGCAAGGAACATTATTTCTAAGCATTGTTATCGAGCATCCGAAGCGAAGTAACAAATATATAGAAGTTTATATAATCTAACGATTTAAAAAGGATAAAATTGGTCAAATGATTAAAAATCAAAAAACTCTTTAATAGAGTCGGTTTTGATCAAAACAATTAATGGCGAATCTTAAAGATTATATTACATTTTCTTACGCTCTTACTCCAATCTTAAAAGATTAAGTACGAACCGCTTCATATGGCTGTTTAATATAGATTACAGACGAATCCGACAATTTCTTAAAGACTATTTTCACTACGGCGGTTTTACTGTTTTGAAAAAAAGAGTCAGCTGTTGTTTTTGCGTGGTTATTTCATATTTTAGAGGTTAAATAGTTTGTGTAAAGTCATTCTCGCAAGCTGTCTATATGACTATAGACCTCTTGCATGTGACGTCAAAGCAGCTCAATCTGGGGGTCAAAATAAAAGAATACCCTTCTCTTGAGGATTGATATTAAATATATATTCAAATGTTTTGAACCCCAGGTACGTAAGGGGTCAATAGCATGCCTTAAAAATAGCCAATAGATCAAGAATTGCGCAAACCTAAAATAAAGCGAACGTTGACTGACTAATATAGGACCAAAGAACAGTTCTGTAGTTTTTTTCAGTTTTGATATTCGTTACCCTTAATTTCATAACGAAAACTTGTTTTTGCCTTTACGCGCAGTCGATTTTTTGGCCTTAACTTTTTTTCGTTAGAAAACGGAGTTTGCATCGTTAGGGCAATAAATTGTAAACCATGTAAAAGACACATCTTGGTGTGTGAACCTGACCAACGAATACATTCTCCAGATACATTTCAGTACTATTGCGCTTGATTAAAACATAATAACTAAGGCTAAAATCTTGTCATTTATCAGGCAATGGGTAGGTTTTTGGAGAAAGCCGGCTTGTGTTCAAACATCAAACTTTAGACGAGTCGAACCTAATGGCATCAAAGAAGAACGCCTTGTTATCCAATGTTTCAATTAGGTTCGGCTCATGTGAAGTTCGACGTCTGACCTGAGCCTAATAGTGTGATATAAGAATGAATCCCTCGATACTATTCCGCAGTAACTGATTCGTTTTTAATTTCAGGTCCCCAAAAACAAGCCTAATTTAAGAGTCTCTTAGCAACTGTGTCGCCATAGCAATGAATGGCACAGAACCGCCTGACGTCAGCAAATCACGTGCTCTAAGCACGAGTGACATTATCTTGGTTTCCTACCTCTGTCTGGTCATAGTAACTGCCTTATTTGGTAACGCCTTATTAGGTATCGTTATAATAAAGAAGAGTCTACTCCAGAACGTTCATTACTACTTCATTCTTAATCTTGTCGTCGCTAACTTTCTAAACGCGCTACTCAAAATACCGACGTCCATTTTGATAAGAGTCGACAAAGACTGGTACCCACATTACGGAGTTTGCTACTTCACTACCCCACTGGGGGTTTTATTTGGCTCGGCGTCAGTTGGTACTTTAGCCACGGTGGCTATAAATAGATACTTGGTGATTGCGTCACCGTTTAGTTACAGCGATAAAATGCCCCCTGCTTTTGCAAAGACAATTTTGGCAGGAATATGGATTGGCGCGCTTGGGCTTGCCATTCCACCAACTACGTGGAGATCTAAGGATTCGATCTGCAGTAGTGGCGGCGTATCCAGTGAACACAAACTGTCGGAAATTTTATACTTTGTACTTGCATTATGGATGTTCGTTATCATTATCCCAAGCATCGTCATGTTTATGGCGTACTTTAAAATCTATCTCATCGCTCGTAACCATGCTAAACGGATGGAAGCACAACAAACCCCAGCTCTGACTCACACTGACCAACAAACCAAAAAGCGAAGGAGAGACCTTAAAGCTGCTGTCGTACTTGCTGTTATTGGTGGCATTTTTATCATTTGTTGGCTGCCATTTTTCGTCGTTCAAGCCATACACAAATTTGGTGGACATAAACTAAATCCTATCTACTTTAACGTATTTTTATGTATCATGTACACAAACGCTGCATTGGACCCACTAGTACTGTTATTTTTTAACGCTGAGATGAGAGTTGCATTTGTTCGAGTTTTCTGCAAAAGACTTATACGAGTCCGTCCTCAAAGTGGCGGGAACACAACTTGTGGGCACGCAAGCGCAGTCATTCAAACATGACACCGAAGACTCACTTGAGAAACAATTGGAAATTCACGTAACTTATTCCTGACTTATTCATATAATAAACCTATTATTAATTATGTCACCAGTCGTAACAGCTATCTTACAAAGAAATGGGGAAAGAAACCCTTCAATATCATTTCAAAATTAAAGATACTACTTACCACTAAAAAACTCATTAATTTAAGTAGCTGTTGCCCTACACATATTAATATGTACTGTCCATCTGACTTCATTATGAATAGTCCATTTTGAAAGCAAAATCTATGAAAGTTACTATCAAACAGAAAATCCTCCATCTTTGAAGACATAATTTGACAAAACAAATAACAATGGTGAAAATGGCTATCAAATTAATTACTTTGAGAAAATTGGAATATTACCATTCATTCAAAATACTATGGTTTTGGTGTTAATTATTCAGTTGAAAGTGTGTTCAGTTACAGTTCAATAGATTAAATAAGTGATAGATCGTTAAGTGCATTCAAGATGGCAAGCTGCAGTTTAGTTTATGTTTCAAAAGGTTTCAGTTTTGTCCTACATATCATTTTATGAGTATTATATTTTGCATTCTACTAACATGTTAAGTATTTAATTTGTGCTAGAAAATCTATGTTAGAGAGAGTCAAATAGCAGTAAGGATAAATCTGTTTCTGATTTTTAAAAACTTCTATATGATAACAGTGGCAGATACAGAGGTGGTTTCGTGGGTTCCATGGAAACCCCCAATAAGATCTTAAAGCCAATCATGTTCTTAACACTCAGTGAATGAAATTGGATCCCCCCCTTTCATGAAGTTAAACTACCGGCTTCTACTGTGTGGAGGCAATCTTGGAATCCTCCTTTTCAAATTCCTGGATCTGCCTCTGGATAACCATTTCCATTGTACTTTTGTCATAAATTATTCATAAGACTGATCTGCAATACTTATTGATTTAGTGTAAAAATCAGATAAATTACTAATATACTTCGCAAGTACCTTTTTTAAAGATTTAAACAACAAGAGACATTTTGAAACAATGTATAGTATCATGTAGCCTGCATGCATAAAGACCGAATCTAAATCTCCTTAAGAGAGTTAAATTCGGTCTGCACTCAGGCTAAGTATCATGCTGGTATAAAATACATAAATTATTTTAAAACAGAGATATGAATTGCCCTATTTCACTATGACGTCACATCAAAACAATCTATTGTTTAAATGCAAAGGATCATGGTCATCGGAGGGGGTCAAATCAACACAAATTTACCATGTTCTAAAACCCGTATCAATCCACGAAGAGAAGTATAATAGCCAGCAGATGCTCAAAATATTTTTCAGCACATATTAACAGATAGTATCTGAAAACCAGGCCATTTTAGATTAAACTGTTTCACTAGGAGCAAATTTTGTTGAATTTTCTATTGGACTTGGCGATTCTATCCCCCACATAAACAAGCAGTGGCGTCATAGTGAAATAGGGCAATTGTGATTAAAGGTAATATGAAAGAATATGCAAAGTGCTTCTGGAAGCATGGCACTCTATTAGAAATAAAAACTCTATCGATGAACATGCTCATGTGCTTAATGTTTGCAGAGCTTTGACTGTTAAGAAATAGGTTTTGGACACCTTTATGCATAATCTATCTTGCTGATGAAGGCTTTAGTTGTGAAGCCAAAACGTCCATATTTTAAAGACTCTTGAAATCATAGACAACTTGTATTTATTTTTAATGTGTAAACTATTAATTAAGGTGTGTATTTAAGGTAGAATGACTCAATTTCTTTCCAAAGAAGAGATGGCTGTATATCTATATCTGGGGAGGGGGGGCAGAATCAAAGTATAACCTTAGCCCCCCCCCCCCCTCAACCCTATCAACCCTACTCTAATACACCTTACATTGGAAATACAAAATTATCTAGAAACTTAGAAAAAAATGATTTAGGCTTTATACTGCTAAAATATATACACTATATACTTCAAAAACATGACCTTCCACATGCGATATTGTCCAAGAATTCAAATCCATCCATGAAGTTTAAAAGTAGTATTGCAAAGGGAACTATCATATGTCGTAAATATAGTATATATACTATGATATTAGTCGAATATTAGTCTAAGTATATAGGGCAACAGATGCTTTATAAGGTTGACTTTTTTTATCACAAATAAATATTAATATTGGCTTAAAAATTTTGCATTTGAAGGATTTCTGAGCTTAAGTGTAGCTAAAGGTATGTATTTACCTGTTTTTAAGCGTTTCATCGTGAAAATTTATCCTGCAGAGGAATAACTTGACCGTGGTTTTGCTCCAGTCCGAAGACCCAACAACATGGCGACCTCGTCTCAATTTTATAATTCCCGCCTTTCTTAGTTCCCCGCGCGCAAGGCACACAGGGAGCCCACAGCTATTTTAGCGAATTAACGCAGGGAACCCAATTTCTACTTTTGTTTGCACGGTGCCAGAAATCGCCTCATACGCACGCGTAGGCCAAGGAGAGAAAGCCCTAATCATTGGTGGGTCAGAATGATACAGAAATTGTCAAGACTTATCACGATCTCCTCTACGGCACATGTGTAATCATTTTTTTTGTGTGTGTGTTGAGGTTTGGCCGCTATGGACAAAGTGCTCATTGAAAGGGCAAGGACAGCGTGGGAGATAAGCAATACCTGGTACTAGCCAATTATTGGTTTTCTGTGTAGATTAGGCTGGGAAACACTAATCGAGGAAGGCTGAAGTAAACTATCAAACCTATCTAGAGAAAGTATGACATGTACCAAGAGAAAATGATGAAGCTAATAAAGTGTTGGTGAGGGGGAAATTCACGACCATATCTTTAGGAAGAGCACTGGTTAAGAAAGACACAGACAGAGAAATCAGTTTTAGTTTTATTTCGAATAAGTGGAGCAAAAATGTGTTTGACAAACCATCATTCATCCCCTTATTACTGGTTATCACATGCAATGGAATCGCAATGTACATTAAAATCAAGAGTGTATAAAGTACTTGTACTCTCTTGACAAAATTGAAACAAAAGAATTGACGGCTTCACGACCATGGATCACCGTTGGCGTGGTAGTAACCATTTTCCATCTCAATCAATATAACTAAATAAGATACAAGTTTGATTTTTTACAAATATTTCTATTGTGTAGAATGAAAAATTGAATATGGCGAAACCTGGAAAATGAATGAGAAAAAGAAAATCACAATTAATAATATTTAAGATAATCCTTGATTTATTCTTACAAGTGGATTTGCGCAAGCTCAATTTCTGATGTATATTTGTGGGTTTTTTACGTAGATTTGTTACGTTAAAATTGTTAACAATGCCTGCGCAGTCCTTATAAACATAATCAACATTCGGTGTTGAATATGAGTTAATTCCCTGTGTGTACCATGTCATAGTTGAATCGTAGGGCAAAACGAATACATTTACATCTTGCCTCATTGATTTGCAAAATGTCTGACGCGTTTTTTACCTATCAGCCACTGCACTGGTCTCTGATTGGGGTTGTATATTATCATATTTGTTTACAACACACTGCGTATACTTATTGCAATAAAGTAAGTCAAAAAAAAAAAAGAAAAAAAGAAAAAAGAAACGTAGAAAGCTGAGATCATTACGGGTAATGGGAAACTTATCAAACTTATCTTATCAAACAAGTAACGCTGTTTTTGATGCAAACAGCAGCTTGGGGATGCTTAGAAGAGCTGAAACTTTAATTGCTTAGAAGAGGTGAAACTGTAATTGGTAAAAGTTGTCCATCAACAGTCATAAAGCAGTTGAAACATGTAAAAACTTTTATCTATCCCTAATCCTCGTCGGTCTCTGCTTTGTAGCTTTCTAAGGTGACTAACTTTATTGAAATAAGTATATAAACAAATGTTTCCACATACCAGTCTAGTAGCATATGCCCCATCTCCTTGATCTGTCGAAGTCTGAAGTCGTCGAACACCAAAACCTGTTATACCCGCTCTTGGTACAGGACCTGTAGACCTTGTTCCTATATTTAAAGGGAAAAACACAACAAGCGCCTTTTGCATTGCCTCCGTGGGTGTCCATTCCAGATTGACATTCCTCTGAAAACATAAAATGATAGAGTGGGTTTCATAACTGGCATTTCACGGTCCTTTGGGAAATTTTACTTCTTTAATGCAAACAAATTGAATCGTTTCTGTCATTGGCTGCCGTGAATGAATTAAACCCTTTATATGAATAACGAGCAAGTATCTACTACAGAAGAAAGAACTAAAAAAACATACATTTTTCAGCGATAAAGGTTAAGCCTAAGTTCAGACAGACGTTTCCTATCCCGGCATTCACCGCCCACTCCCCCAAAGAGAAACATTTCTTTATCCATGGAGATAATCCGATTATCTAATAATGCGCGCGTTTTCATCTTCATTGATTTTTTATTCTTATATGTAGAAAGCAAAAAATTGGTGTATCTTATAAAATGTTTTCTAACTTTTTTTGAAAACTAGGTTGCGAGCGCAGATGGCACCAGCACCATGCTCGCCAATCTTGTACCCAGAGCTTTTATTTCTTACTGCGCATGCTCGACGAAATAAATATTTAACTCGTCGAGCATGCGCAGTAAGAAATAAAGGCTCTGGATACGAGATTGCATGCTCCCAATCAGTGCGCGCGTAACAAAGTTCCCATATATGAAATAAATTGAATTACAAACTCGTGCTAGTACTAACCTAAATGACACTTCGCAGCGACGGCGAAGTTCCCATAATCATAGAGTTCACATTTTGCAATATTGTTCAAGTAGTCCGACTCGGCAACCTTTCTGTCTGGATTCACTGTGACACGAAGGTAAAACGAGCCATGAGGAAAATCTGTGACGTCGATCCATTGGCAGTCGATGTTCCATTTGTACACGTCGTAACAGTTAGGTGAAATTCCCTGGTCGCCTCCATCGGTACAGTTGAACGTTTTCGGAATACCTTCATCACATACGGTGTCTTCGAGACAGAAGCTTGCCTTATGGCCTGCTGCCGCCTTTATACCAGAAAAGTCTTTGAATTGAAAGAAATAATTATCAATCAATCTTACAGACTGATTTGGAATGAAACCCTGCGTGTGCGGGTATGAGAAATCGCGCTCGAGGTGGCCATATGCTAATGAGAGCGATTGATACATCTTTGATAGATCCAGGACCGTCTGAAACTGCCTGGGCAAGGCAAAAATATACGGCGCGAGCGAATTTTCTAGCGTTTTAACTTTCGCTTATCAAATCGTGAGAAATCCAATTTTTGATTGACAAGGATGCCCAAAACTCGACTCCTGGAATTGAAAACATGAAACATGAAATTAAAAGCGCGATAAAATTTATAGAAGCCCACTTTTTTTCTTATTTAAAGGCATTTTAGATATATGCAGTCGATCAACAAATATTGACGTGGGATCTCTATAGCAAAAAGGAAAAAAAAATACATCAATCCATATTAGCCGTTCCAAGGATGCGGAAAAACTGGGTCGAGTTAGCATTTACAGTGCATTGTGGGACTGTGATCTTAGGAGACACATTAACAAGATGGCGTCTCATTTAATTTTGTCCCATAAAACAGACTCATAATGCACTGTAGAGCCAACTCCACCCAGTTTTTTTCGGCCTCAACCTCAGTACGACTAATACAAAGCGAAGAAAGCGTTATATATCTTACCAACCAAGTCATAAGTACTGAACACTTCCATCGAATGATAGTGATTATGACACTGGTGCCATTGCCAAGAGGACTTAGGCACATCGGGTTTGAAGGGAGCCAATCCTCTATTTTCAACTCTGGTCGTAAAACGAAGCAATCGACGGGTATAGTATCGATTGTTGGGCCACTGCTCCCTTGCGCTTTCTCCAAGACAGTTTTCCTCATATGAACATTGCATGTATGCAAGTGGTATTGCGTCGATACGAACGTTTTTTTCAAGCTCATCTACGTTGACAACAAGATCAGGAACGGCTGCAGAAGGGGAAAACACAAAGAAAAACCAATCAGCAAGTGTATGAAAGCTTCTGTTGGGAGTAAAGGTTTTTTTTAGCAAACAATTAATCTTTCTAAAATTTAGGTAAAGAAAACATGCAAGCCGCGGACAAGAATTTAGGGACTATCTCATGCTGAAATTCAGCCCTACTCTTCCAATATACTAAAACCCTCTTTGGCAGGGCCGCTAGCCGATTTTAGCGAAAACAAATTACCTCTCGTGCAAATGATACCCGCTTTTCTTCCGCTTCGACATCTTGTAATTTTTGGTATGGCTCGTTCACAGTGGTGCAAAGATATTTCATCAAGCTGAAAGAAAAACGAAAAGATTAACTAATACTGAATTTGACAATCAGCGCACAGAAAAAAACAAGTTGCGCTAAGACAATGATTTAAAAAAACATTCTATTCCAACTAATAAAAAAAAAACAAGGACCGCGAATTAATAGGAGATGGGTGGGTTTTTGCCTCAAGGCGTTTGGCTAATATCAAGTCAAGAACTGAAATTTCAAGTCAAGAACCGAAATTTCTCCACCGTAGTATTAACGATCTTCCAAACATGCGCATTTCCCCAGGGTTTTCTCAAGCAGCTAACTTTAACCAGCCTATGACTAAAATTCTAAATATTAGCTAAAACAAATTAAACAACTAACTTTGCAGTCCACATTAGAGAAGATCACTGGAAGGCTAGTTACACCGAAGTAGTTTGATGTTATGGCGTTCTTGGCAAATCCAAGGCCAAGATGTCGACACGCCACTACGGCTTCTTCTATACCCCAATGCTCCGCACAAACAGCACCCCATCTTTTCCCATCAAACACTTCGACTCTTCCCTCATGTGGGGTCATTCCTCCTGCAATACGAATCTTCAAAAATATCGTGTCATTAGTCATTTATGCATTCCCAAGGAAGCACAAAGACCTGCATTCTCCTCTTGATCAGCACCGATGAACAAAGGTGCTGACCAGGACTCGGTAATTCAGGCTCTAAGAAACAGTCCCTCTCCTTTTCTGATTTCGACAGGAAGCCCAGATGAGAAAAGGAACGCAGAAGACCTAGGTTTTAACTACCTTATTGTTGTAAAGCTTTGGTACATTACATCGCACGCTCACATCCTCGTAATGGTTACAATTACTTTGAAGGTTGGCTCTACAGTCACCAAAATCCCTCTCCCAACCGTTGCAGTTGACGTCATCTTTATAAATCTGGAAGAAAAATAGAAAAGTGAGAATTAATATGCAAGTATTCTCAGGCCCGTATAGATAAATGTGTATTTACGTAGCCATGTGTTTTTTTATACATGGCAAGAGATTATACACACGAAAACGCTCTATGACCTCAATAACAAGATCTAAGTAGGATAGGTTTTTAAATTACGACCAATATATGAGTAAATTTCCTAAAGGGATATCTAAACTATCAAGAAAACCTACCCCTCTCACACCTTGTCCAAAGTGCGCATTTGTGAAGACTCTGGAAGCTGTTCCAAGTCCAATACTTCTGCAGACAACGTTAGCATCTTTCAGTCCAAAATGATCATCGCAAACTGTCCCCCAGTGCTGCTTACTACTTGGGTTTGGATTTCTGACTTCAACTCTCCCTTCATGAAGATTGAAAGAACCACGTAATCGCAAATTGGGGTTCTGTTGGAGAAGAAAAAGAGGAATTAGTTTTTCGTTTTTCCGGCATGCATCTTTACGGCACATCATGATACCCACACTGCAAATATGTATCTGCCTGCCTGCCTGCCCCACCATATATGGCAAGACAAACGAAATTCTTCGTTTGCACATTACAATTGCCCTATTTCACTATGACGTCACATCAAAACAATCTATTGTTTAAGCGCAAAGGATCGTCGGAGGGGGTCAAATCAACGCAAATTCGCCGAAAATTGTTCTAAAACTCGTATCAATCCACGAAGAGAAGTTAAATAGCCAGCAAACACTCAGAATATTTTTTAGTACATATTAACACATATTATATCTGAAAATCAGGCTATTTTAGATTAAACTGTTTCGCTAGGAGCAAATTTTGTTGAATTTTCTCTTGGATTTGGCGATTCTATCCCCCACATAAACAAGTAGTGACGTCATAGTGAAATAGGGCAATTCAGATGGGAGCTAATTATTGCTAGATAATCATATTAAATGCGATTATAAAGTACGATAAAGAATGTATGAAGATCATGAGACAGTACGAAGCAAGACTACGAGGATTATAGACGATAAAAGTGTGACATGAGGAGGAAACAGGACTTGCTTCCCAATTGACATCATTCCCCTATTATAACAGTAAAAAATATTACCAAGAAATTATTTTGGAGTGATAATGCATTACGGAAAATACTGAATTTGAATCTATCTGAATATGGAAATAACTACAAGATACTTTAGCGATCTATAAGAAAATTAAATTGATTTATAGTACATCACTGAGGTGGCTGGCGGGTAGTTTCTGATAATAGTAATTGAGAATATACTGACTATCTGTATTTTATAAAAGAAATAAAAAACTTGCTTGCTGTGCTGTGTACAGTTATAAAGCACTTGGGGATTAGCAGAACACTCGAGAAGTGTCGAGAAGCAGTCCGCTACGCGTCGTGCTTCTCCTAACACTTCTCTCGTGTTCTGCCAACCCCGCGTGCTTTATAACTGCACACAGCACGCGCGCGCGTTTTCTATTTTTTCAATATACCTTACCACAAACATTGGTGATCGACTGCACTTGATTCTGACTGGAAATCCTCCCTCACACTTTAGTGGTCCCCATCCTTTATGTCTACACTCAACAAAAGATGATTCGTGTCCAGCGCAACTCACATTCGATACCATGAATGCCCCTTCTGGAAGGTCTTTTTCCTTCTTTTCACTATGGAAAAAAAAAATGCATTTAGGTCACGGCTTTGCGCGCACAGAATAATCAAGTTTACATTAGTGTCGTGCACCTTATGTCACGACTGTCATGGCTTTTAGCAAGTCTATAGTTTAAAGTGTTGAAAAATTACTGAAACCTTAGTAGCGGCAATGAGAGGTACAAACATTGAATATCGCTTTACGGATACCATGTGTAAAATTGAACTATCGTTTAACGGGAACCTGCGAAACACACTGCAACTTTGCCTTTTTCCCGCACGAAAAACATATAACATTTGATGTACGTATTACCTAGTTTTTTGAGGGCGGACAAGAGGACCTCGATGGTAATCTTTGTACCCCAACATTCCACATGCAACTCTCGAGTTCATTTCCGTCCATCCATGAGAACACACGTATCCCCACTGCTTGTCGATCTGCACTTGAACTAACCCTTCACTGATGAGGTCATGCAACATTGGACCAAGTAAGCGAATAGGGAGATCTACGATCTGGAAAGAAAGGGCATGTTTTGTTTATTCATTCTATACACTATACCACATAAAAACTTTAAGCCTTTTACATGCATGGAATGGCATAGAGGCTGAAATATCTTTGCGTGAAACACATTAGAATCATATAATAATTTAATTCAATTTAGAATGTCACATGTTTAATAGGTTCGTGGTGATTGGCCTACCCCGCATTAGTCTCTCTAATATGTAGACTAATTTTTGGAGGGCGGACAACCCAATGTTAAGTCCATACCTCTTTGCTTGCATTTGAAGGACTAGGTTTGATGACATATTCCTCGTCCCGCATCCTACAAACTACACCAGCTGTCTGACCTCTTCTGCAGTTACACCTTCCCCAGTCTTTACGGGAACATCTTTCCAATGTCCATTCATCTCCGTTACACTGCACGTCGTCCATCCAAAAGTAACCACTTCCGCGTCCAAACCAGTCACTATGAAAAACATCATCAATGCAAAGGAGTAAATTAATAAGAAGGTTGTTTGAGTGGGTTATGCGTAACTAGAAAAAAATCAAACCACATGAAAACCTCGGGCTTGATTATGCAAGAAGTGACCTGTGGGCTAAAATATCGTTGTGTGACTTACTTCAGTTTTGCGTGACTTAAGCTGAATAAAAAGAGCACGCGGTCTGACCGGACGCGCGTCGGCCCTATGGGAGTCCGCTTGCAAATTGTCACATGTAACGGTTCTTTTCCCCTCCAGACTTCAGCCGAGTTGGGCCTTTTCCCTCAGGCTGAATTTGGAGGGAAAAGAAGGACTGTTTGCAATCTAGAGACCCTGTACCTAACCACCGGAATCAACATCACTTTAAGAACAATCGACTTTCTAGATCTCTAAGCTATTCGAGTTTACAAATTAATCTCAGTAGTGAAGACATAAAGACAAACACAACCACTAAAGTATCCCAGACGTATGTCAGTGAGCAAGTATATGTTCGCAGCTTTCGTGATGTTCTTCACGTGCATTCAAGAAAAAGCTGTCAAGATTCAAAAAAGATATTTCGATAATCATATAAAATAGAAAACTTGGAATTCGCACAAAAAGCTATTATCCATAACAATGCTAGTCTCCAGTAGGTGTGCAAACACTTCCCTCTTAGTGGGACCGGACCGACACTAAGAACGGCTGCAGAGGAGACTATCACAATGCTGGCAAGGGATAGTGTATGATTTTATTCAGGAAATTGTCTTGGTTTTTACTGTGCATAAAGTCAATTAACACTCGGGTTTATAACCTTTTGTATAAAGAATTTACGTCAGAACATTCCAGAAAGAGTGAAGAAATTAGGACCGTTATGCAACCAAATATTTCTCGTGCAATAGAACGAATCTTAAAAATTTTAGCTATTTGCTTTAGATTAGGTGTAAGATAAGCTGAATAAGAAATCCGCCAAATACTCATTTGCAATTTTGCTTCCAAAGTTTAGATTTTTTTGAACACCTACTATTACATATGTTTTGACAGGGATAGCAGATCAAATGTTATGCCAACGATATTTCCTTTGTAAGTTAGCAGTCGGTTCTTGGCATAGATATACTAGACATTGAATATGCGACATTTTTACTGTCACCACAAACAACTACTCACCTAGCTATAGAAATATAATGGAGAGTAATAAATAAGAGATAAAATCTGTGTAAGTGTAAAGATTTGATGTTATAATTAGTGTCTTACCCTGAGGTGTATCGCAAAGCGTCCGGGAAACCAAGCATCCTACACGCAACTTTCGCTCCTTTCAAATCCCATTTATGATCACAAACCTCTCCCCACTTATCATTGTGAAGAACTTCAATTCTTCCTTCATAATGGTGCTTTCCCTGCACCATTCGGATCTGCAGCCTTCTTGCTACTGAGGAGCAAATAAATAGGCTTAGAATTGAAAATAGTACGGCACGCACAGGAAACATCTTAGAAACCGATCGTCCAGCAAGCTGCAGTTACTGTGTGGTCTCCGTACTTAATTTCACCAATGACAAACGAGGAGAAACGTTCTGTACCCTACAGTATAAGCCTAAGCAGTTAGACTTAGAGGCCTATACTGTCACTTATTTGCCAATACAGAATCCAGTTATTCAAGAGTTATATACATGCTTCGCGCATGTGTACTGGGCTACCTTGTAATCTTAGAAGGAAAAGTTATGAACAAGGACGCACTGTTTGTGTCAAGGGAAAACCATTTATATTTTAGTGTTTCCGTGCGGTGTTAATATCGATGAATCAAGGTCAAAACTGCTTGTACACAGCGCTTTGCTTCATGGTTTCAGGCTTCATAAACGCTGTGTTATGAATGGGAGAAAAAAACGACCGAAATTATTCTGTTTATATGTCCGCTGAATAGTCCAGCTTCAACTAGGAGTTGAGTAAAATTTTAAACCGGAAATGTAACATGATAATTCAGCATATTTCGATCGACGACCCATCGACCGCAGAGCGTAAAACCGCAGTGTATCGTAGTTCATGCACAGAAACGCGTACTGCATTAAATTAAATGCGCTAAGTCACGGAAACTACAATCGAAGGGTTATAAGGCTTTCGGAGGTCGAGTAAAAGCCTGGATCTAGTTGGCATTGCAGTGCATTCATTGTGAGGCTGTTTTAGGGGACGAAAGCGAGAAGCTATTTTGGGATTGGAAATGTGTACCCTTAAACAGCCCCACAATGCATTGCAATGCCAACTCGGCCTAGTTTTTTCCTAAACCTCGGAGCGCGCAACTGCAAAGAATACTTCAGGAGAAGATCAATCTCGAGCTAGCCCAGAGTCTTCCGGCTTTTTGGTCAATAATGGGCCTGCGCTAACTATAACCCCAGGTAAGCGCTGGAGGACTCTGGTAATGAGATTGCCAAAAGATATAAGAAAATAATGGTCACAGAGTTGCATTGCATTGAATTGCGTAACTGGGAGAAAACTATACAGCCAAGAAGTGGATCTCTTTTTAAGTGGATAAGAAGGGTTTGGCAAAAAAATGGGAATCCTGTGTGCTTTTCTTCTCACCAGTTCTCGCTCGTCCATATGTAATCAGGCAACCCACCAATCGGTGCATACATCAAAAACAAAATGGCGGAGACCCAGTGCTGAAAAAAAAATTATATGAAAAATATATAAGACGATAACTCTAATTGTAGTTTCTGTTGAAAAGGAAGGATAAATTATTGTTTTAAAATTACCCAAGGCTATATAGATGTTATGATTAATGTCATATGCTTGGTAGGGGACTTTTTTTACTGATGTACACAGCAGTTGCTCCTCCGAAACAAACAGACGATCGTGTAAACAAGAAAGTTACAGAGGAAGGAGGCCCACCGGCTGGCGTCTCAGAAAATAACTGGAAGGTGATTTACGTCAGACAATCAAATTTTCCTTTGTACATGTGTATAACTCTGAAATTATAAACTAATGTTAAGCTTTTAAGATAATGATGCTTCCCCCTTCAACAAAGAAAAACGCACGTGGCTCGACTATGGTTGTTTTTTTCTTACTTGTTTTTCAATACATGATTAGAAATTCCAGGAACTAAAGAAACGTAGAGAACAATGCTGTAAAAAATCAAAAGAGAAGAGAAAGAAGGAACGAAGAAAAAATGTGATTAAACCCGGTTAGTGAAGATAAATATTATTCCTAATTTGCTATAGCTAAATTAAAACTGAACTTTCTTTTCTGAGTAATATTGCCTATACAGAAGAACCCCAGTTCTATGCCCACCTGTTTCTAACAGAAGTTTCCTCCCTTTTATGAGGTTCCCCCTCTTTCCCTCGACTGATTATGATATACTGTAACCCACTCCCCTCCTCTCCCCTCCCCAATTATGAGCCCACCCAAGCTCAAGGCTTATAACTGGGATTTGACAGTATTCACATAGTGTTGCAAATGACAATCTCAAATCTAATTTCTGTGGTTACACTTTAATTTTTCTTTAATTTTTACACTAACTTTAATTGTTCCATCCAACTTAGTATGCAACTAGTCTCACTATCAGTAACATCAGTATAAATGTCAAAGACAATAAATGCAAAATTTGATTTCAGTTTCTTCGCAGGTAAGTCAAGAAGAACTAACAATCCTCACAGAATATGGTGTTCCCTCTACCTCCAGTAGTAGTAGTAAAACATGTAATGAAGATGACACACCAGGAAACAACAGGTAAGTCATTCCAATTATTAATTTTATATTATGGCAGTATGCTGAATCATTACATTTTGAAAATATAGAATAGTATAACTATAAAAAGCATACCCAGGGCAATTGATCTGGGACATTTCTTTTTAGTTTCAAAATTGAATGGAATATTACCTTCTTGAGCAACAGATTTTGAACTTATGGATCATTTGAAAGCCTCCTCTCTCCCCCCTTACAGTCTCTGGTAACCCTAAAAATATTTCACACCAACCCAAAATGTTCTATTGGAAATGGCAGCAGGGCTGTCAACTCTCCCGGATAAACCGGGAGTCTCCAGATTTTGGACCGTATCTCCCGGTCTCCAGATTAGAGTATGAAATCTCCTGGATAATCCCCGAAGCTGACCATTTCTTGTCTTGTGAGATTAGACTTTCACAACCATAAAATTCCAATTATTTCATGTTGTTTGTGTCATTTTACATCGCTAACAAAATCAAAACGTTCATCATCATAAACTGTTCTTACAAGCAGGCCATTGTAATATAAGCGATAATCTGATTGGTCAGAAATAAACCAATCACATCAAATGTTACAAAGCGAAAGACGTCTTTTCGCGCGCTTTTTGACACGCTGTGACGCCATGTCCCTTCCCTATCAATTCTCCAGATTTGAATATCTCTGGGGTTGACAGCCCTGTGGCAGTGAATGCTATTAACAAAAGGTGCAACAATATGAAATTCCCCAAACTTTAACTGCACGTTTTTCTGGCATAATTTCTGGTGGGGACATTAATATTTAGATATTAACATAATACATTTCTAGCTTAGTAAAGCAACATCAGCTTGCAACACAAAACCTTCACCATTTTGAAATAGCTGTATAACCATGAGAAATAATAGGGGGAATAACACCAGGCCTGTCGCCAGTGGTGGTTTTGATGGTTCCAAGGAACCCCACCCTCTCCCCCTATACAAAAAAAAAAAAAAGCAATATAAGGCAACCAAGATTGGTAGAAAAATGAACCACCCTCAGTGCCTACACTTCATACTATCTATTATGCTTGTAAATTGCATAAAAGCAATCTGTCATTCACAACTCAATGTAAAGCGCCTTTGATTATATTCATATAGAAAGGGTGCTATATATAAATCATCAAATCAAATCATCATCTCCCCTTTTTAGGTTTTCTTGCGATGGGCCTGAATACACTGATTGCTCTTTCTTAACTAACCTTAGGTACAGGAAGACTGAAAAGATAGAAAATGAAGCCAAGTGGAGAGACCTAAAACAGTATTTATATTTACCTCATAATTCTGGTTTGGAGAGTGAAGAAAAAATTATTTTGAAAAAACAGGTAAGCTTCTTGGATTCAATCATGTGCCGAATCATGTAGACAAGTATTGAAGAACTATTTTAATAAAGTTGGTTTATTTTGTTTATTTATTGTCAAAAATTCCACATTAGAGCTCATAAGCTTGGGCATGTTTTCCCATTTCAGTCCAYGTCATACTTTTGGGAATAAGATTCCTTGTTTGAGTTCAAGTATGTACCTCTGTTAATCAACGGAATGATGCTCTAGGGAACGACAGATGGTCTGAAATGGGAAAAYGATATGCTCAAGCTAATATAAAAAGGTCTATTGTCTCAGGATATGCCCTTTACATTATATCGTCAGTTAAATGTTATCACAATCAATATCCCTGGCTCACTTTGGTTTGCTCAGTTAACAAGCACCAATGGTATTGTCATCCTAATGGGGGGAAATGTATAAAAAGAACTTCTTGTACTGACAATTTGTATGAGTGGAGGGGAAAGGCTTTCCCTTTGTCTGTACATGTAATCATCCTGTCTTAATCCTCTCAGACTGAAGAGCAAATAGACAAGGCCATTGCAAAAAGGCAATTTGAAAAGGCTGAATTGTTAAGTGAAAAGCTTTCAACTCAAGACTTTGTGGTCAAAGTGGCCAGTGCTGTTGAAGGGAGAAACTTTGCTAAGAGAAGAAGCGAGGAACAAAGTAGGACACAGGAAAAAAAGAAAGCTAAACTTCACTGGGGATTTGAACAAAAGCAAAGATGGGAAAGCAAAGGGAACATGTGAAATGGAAATTTCATTTTGAAAGAAAAAATCCAAATGTCTACAATCCTGCCAAGTATTTTTGAAGTGATTTCCCCCGTAGATTAGAATTCAGTCTGGAATCTAAATACGAGGGCATATACATGGCACATTCACCAAGGGTTTAGGTAAATAGTCTGCTTGAAAGAGTATTTACATGCCAATTGGCCAACTTGAAAATTTACAGACAAACATGGCAAGCTGCTTGTCAGATGCTTTTAAACAATCCAACTTACTAAGGTATTTATAGGTTATTTTCATGTATTTCTTGTCTTGAAATTATTTATTAAAGTGCCTATGACACGTAATTCAACATTTTCAGCATTGATCCTAAATGAAGTGAAAAGTTGAATAGTAAAATATCATTGATTTGAGTGATGCATCTTGGAGATATCAAGGTTTATACTCCCAATATGTTAATGATGTGCAGTAACCCCAAAGGTAGTTGACACTTTGGAGAGTGGCCGCTTACGAGCGAGTTTTTTACAGTCTATATGGGAAACAAAACAGAAAATTCAAAAGGTGGTTGATTACGGGAGACTGTTGCTTACGAGAGTGGTTGTTCAGAGAGTCGACTGTATTTCAGTTTATCTGCCATCACATGGAAATCAAAACACTGATCACTATAAGAAATTTTTTTTACTCCTTTTTTCTTCTTCTTTAATCCTAAGACAATGATGTTTTATACAGGATATTTTACTGCCCCAGAAAAGTTTTGTATATTTAATAATGCCTCCTTTGACGTAATAACATTAACATATTGGAAGTAAAAACCTTGATATATCCAAGATGCATCACTTAAACCATATTAAAATATTTTTAAATGTTAAAACTATTCAACTTTTTACTTCATTTAGAATCAATGCTGAAAATTTTGAGTTAGGTGTCATAGGCACTTTAAGTTTGTGGTTAGAGTGTAAACATGATATCCACGAAATGGAAAAAATATATTAATAATTAATAGTAATTTGTATTAAATCAAAAACAACTTAAAATTTTAGCGCAAACAAAACATTTCAGTACTGTTTCACAGGTTACGTGTGAGCAGTCCAAGTAGTCTAAGTAGCATGCACTATTATATTTAGTATAGTGCAAATTATTAATGCTATACAGATAAGGATTTTAGTCATTTTCAAAAACCAAAAAAAAAACATCAATGAAATATTGATTGCTCCAGACAAAAATGTAAACACTTCATTTACTTTAAGTGCCAGGTTCAAAGTCCTGGGAATACCCAGACATCTTAATGTCATATGTACGTCATTCTTCTATGACTATTATATAGGGAAGCACGGTTGGCATAGCAGTGAGAGTGCTTGTCTCTCATCAATGCGCCCCAGGTTTGATGTTGTATTTTAGTAGAGATCTAATGGAAAAGATGTTTACTAATGTGCAGTGGAAAATGTTTTTGAAAGGTTTCACAACTCACTCTCTTTACAGATTTCTTACCAATGGCACAGTTTTAACTTAAATAACAATGATTTTTTTTTTTTTAAATCTTTGAAGTGCAACGGCTAGACTGAAGGAAGAACGTAAGTATGCTTTACAATGACGGAGTAAACAAGGGTCACAGATATTTTTATAATGATTATGGTTATTTATAATTAGTGTCATATAGTGGTTGCAGGGTTAACCCTTTTATGAAATACCTTATTTATTTTCAATTTTTGTTTTCAAATTTGCAGTAAATCACACACTCAATTCGATAAATCTAACTATTTGATTACAAGTTTTTACATCTTTTGCCTGATGATAATGTAAACAAACTGCCACGTTCAAGGCAAGTCCGTCACTTATTAGCATAATATTAATAAAGTTGTCACTGCTGCTTGGAAACCCCTTAGTACGGTGTTAGTAATGTGAAACGTAGAGCTTTTCCGTAATGTTAACAATAAAACTTATTCGGAAAAAGGAGCAGGTGTTTCTCTATTTTTTTGGTATGAATTTGTTCTAAAAAAATACAACTTCCTTTTACTGAACTCTTTCTTTATGTTCATTAAGACTTTAGCTTATTAATTACGGTTGTAATTAATTTTATATCTAAGCTTTAAATATTACGAAAGTCTATATTTCATTTTTATTTTCGGTGAACGAGTCAATATATTATGTCACATCCAGAAACCAGTAAATCTGCTGCACTGAAAAATGTCAAATAGATCTCGACTTTTCAAAAACTGCCTTGATCCGTACCACATAATCCTGAAATTGTCACCATAGTTATTGTCCCAAAACTTATGTCCAAGTACTTCGTAGCATATTGCAAATTCGATTTTGAAGTCTTTTTCCAAGTCATTTGGGATTACTAGTACAAAGGAGAAGGTATCTGTAGTTCCACTGTTCGAGCCATAGACATATTCTGCAGTTATGTCCGAATAACTTTGCCAGCTGTCCTTGGTATATCGAATAAACACCTTCTTTTCGTAGTCTATGTTCTGAACTTTTACGCTCCCTGAAATGCTGTAATCTCGAATTGTAATGCTTTCCAAAGCCACGCTTTGTTTTTCTAAAGTGTCAATTAATTTTTTCCCGCAGAGAGGTTGAATAAAGTTCAGAAGACGAGCCCGGTCGACTCTTTCTCTTTCGAAAAAAGTTGGTCTAATAGCAATTTTCCGGTGGTAAGAACGAGGTGCTGTATCACGGTAATAGCAAACATCGACCAGTGAAAGTCCTAAAGTATCTGCAAAGTGTACTTTCTTGTCTTTTCTTCCTTCATTGAGATTTGAATCGCTTTTAGCTGTGCCAAGAATATTCGTTTTTACCTTTGTCGAAGCAGGCATTGATTAGATGGCGTGAGTTTTTAGACCAAGTAGTACTTGAAAAAGCGGAAAATATTAAACTAAGGTTTGCAGTCATGCAAAATGATAGCGCTTCACTGACGTTTCATAAGAACCTATGGTAGAAAAACTTACATACAGGATTTGAACGAAAGAAGCAATGCCATCTAACTTGGAAGGAAAAGACTTATGAAATAACCCTTCCAGCGCCACGAAGCTATAAACTTTTTTTGGTCTCGTTGATCGATCGTCTACAATCACACCATGAACCACCAATAGTGCACGTGAACATCATAGTATTGACCAATCAGCGACGAGTACCAGCCTACTGTTCATGTGCGACCTGTGTAGAGTATAACGTGGGTGACTCGTGCATGGGAAAGTGGCCAGTTCCCGTCTGCGTCTAGCTATTATTACTGACAAAATGTTCTGGCATACACTATATCTGAATGCATCGATGGACAAAGGGAATTAAAATTTTAAAGCGTATCCTAAAAGACGCCAAAACTCAGAGCTCGTGTGATGGACTAACTACTTCACCATAGTTAGTGGAGGAGACTGGACCCCCCTCTACGACCTGGTAGTAGTTGCACATTCTAAGTTGAAGGGTCAAATCTTTCATCCAAAAACTAGCATTACTGATGCCTACTTATCATTTGGGGGGGGGGGGGTGGATTAATTTATTATGCACGCGACAGGGCAATAGATGCACGTGAAAAGAATGATCGTACGAGCACAAAAGTACCTATCAATTTTGTAGGAGTTAGGGCAAACAATGCCCGCCATGCTCAGTCATTCATGTACATTTATATCGTTAAAAAGTCATAAGGGACCGTATCCGATCGTTCCAAGCAAGTTGAGGACCATTCGATATGAAAATCGAGACATTGGTTTCTCTCCGAACTTTTAATCGAAAGTTTTAGTTTTGTCCTGAACTCCTATTGAGACGTGAATACAGTAACTGTTTCAACTTGAAGGCCAAAACAGAACCTGTTTGTTTGACAAGGGAGGTATACCATAGCAAAATAAAAACCAAAAAAAAAAAAAAAAAAAAAAAAA